CTGCACTTGCGCGCTTTCTACACCCTCTAAACTCCCCCTCACCCTTGAGCGATCAGCCCTTGAGACTGCGACCTCCCTCTATGGGATCCCCTTTCATGCAGTTCTTGCCATGCAGTACTGTCATGAGCTTCTGAAGGCATCTGTCATCCACTGTACACGTGAGTGAAGAGCCAGCCCAGCTTGCTCCTCTGGGTCCAGCCCAGGTCCCTCCATGGTTCCCGTATGTGACCATGTTTTGTCCTGTGCAGAAGTGATGTGTGGCAGAAAGGATTCACCACAGATAATAGCCGATTCACTAATTCTCATGAGCTCAGAGTACAAAGCCCACAGGGTTATTGTCACACAGAGCTGGAGAGTGCTTATAAAAGCAACAACAGCACTATCTTTGATTCAGCAATTCTGGTTTTCCTAATTCACTATGACAGAAACCAGTTCGAGCACACGAACACCCAGCATGTAGGACGATGTTTATTAAGGACCAGGGCGCACCGTCATCCTTCCTAAACTCTGGGAACTCAGCACTGTGCAAACTCATGAATGGTAGATATGGAACACCATGCATTACATAACACCACCAGCAGGGTCTGCCTCAAAATACATGAAACAACCTACCAAGTGGAATTTTAAAAAGATTATAAATAGCCTCATGTCTGCTTAAATCTGTTCTTACTGCCAAGTGAATATTGGGAATTTGCTGGAGAGCACTGCTTTACATTTTAAAAACACAAAGAAGGAACTGTGAACATTTGATAGTTAAAAAACAACTACTGTCCCCAATTGCACCTGAACTGACGTAACTACAGGGCAAAGTGAAAAGAAACCATGGCAATTCCCTGCAATGCTCCGCAACTGTCACAAAGAACAAAGTTGCTTTTTACACAGATCTAGGAGAATTTCACAATGTGCAGTTAATGAAAAACGTCAGGTCACAAATATAAATAGGATCACCAGGGAAATCTCTCTGTGTTGGGGAAGAAAATGTCTCCATCTGAAACAGTCTGCTTTCCCATTATTGAGTCAGAACACCTGGCACCTGCAGCTTAAGGAGGGGCGGTTTACTCTGGCTCACAGCTGTCAGAGAACTCAGTCCATGGCTGTTTGGGTCCAGGGCAGAAACACGTGGTGGAAGGGCCTGGGTCGGGCCACCGGCTGCTCACCCCAAGGCAAGGCGGCCAGGAAGCAGAGTGAGAAGGGAGGCGCAGGACGAGAACTCACCCTTCCAGGTCAGCCCAGTGACCACCTCCTCACAGCACAGCCAGCAAGGATCCAGCCATCTTCCAAAACCCCGCCTCTGATCACATGAGACTCTGGGGTACATTTAGGTCTAAACCATAGCACCAAGGTCTACCCAACATTTTTACTGATAAGTTCAACAAGAAGAGTCAAGGGAGAAGAAAAATTTTCTTCAGCTTTAGAAGACTTGTATCCAGACCAGACTCCCCAAACCCCCTCCTGGACGCTACCCAGAGGCTGTGTTCTGCACCTCGCCTCTCCAGGCAGAAGGGAGAGCAGGGCTTGGAAAGCGGGTGTGGAGCACTGTGCAGAGGAGTGCACCCCCACTGCACAGCCCCCAGACCTCAGTGCTGCTGACCAGACAGCATCGCCGGGGTCTGCCTGCAGGGCCACGAGGGAGCCGCAAGCCAGACCTCCCCCTGTCGAGGTGCGCTTGTGCAGATCTGACCCTAGCGCCTCCCATTTGAGCATGTGGGTGCGGCTGAGCCTGCACACTTCGTTTCTGGGCTTGTGCTCTGACACCTGTGAGAGCACTTCAGCCACTCAGCGCTAACTACTCACAGAGACGACCCAAGAGAGACAACTGCCTCAGCTAACAGGAGTGCCTGAGAAGGAGTTTCCACAGCCTTCGGGGCTTGGGAACAGGGCCTGGAATCCCCTGGTCAAGACACCCAGGCAGAGAGCAGTATGCGCAAGAGTCGACTGCCAGGGCTGGACCGGCCAGGACCACAAGCTCCCGGAGGGCACACCTGCCTGCGCACCTCGGGTTCCCCTGCACGCAGTCCCTCCTTCAGAGGTGATCTGCAAATGCGGGGGAAGCTGCCCCGGATGTGCAGGAGCCTTACGGACAGCCCTCGCTTCTGTTTCCTCTCCCTCCCTGCCTCCCTCCCTTCCTTTCTGCTGCACAGGTGAAAGCAGGACTTTCACACTAAGCTACATCCCTAACCCTTACTGAGTTTCTCGAGACACATCTAAGTCACTAAGTTGCTCGGGCTGGGCTTCAACTTGTGCTCCTCTTGCCTCAGTGTGCTCACATATAGGCACATGCCGCCGCGCCCTGCCGCATGTTTCTTGCGTCCTACCTTTCTTGTTATGTTTAATCATACATGTGTTTACTGCCATTTCCTCCCTTCCGTGAGGCAGGTTGTGGATTCCTCCTCTGTGGATGACTTCAAAGAAGTTTCTCCACCTTCTTTTCTTCAAGGGTACTTATAAGGTACGATCAAAACATGTCATGAATGTTTAAACTTTTAAAATTTATTTTAGTAAAAACACATTACCACTAACCATCTGCCCCAAAATCCACTCCCTCTTGCTTCAAACACACTTAATCCATCCTTTTTGCCACTTTCTGGAGCAGCGTCTTTACAAAAGCGCTGCTGCCGAGTGCCAGGCAGGCTCATAAAGACATGACGCTGTGTCCTCAGCCACCTTATTCTCGGAGGCTGGCACTATGTGACTTCTGGCTTTTCCCCAAAGTCAAAATGACCATGAAAGGTGATGTTTTGAGTTGATTCAGGACACTGAGGCAGCCAGGACAGTGCAGCTAAAAGCGGGAAGGTAGACTCCAGAGCTGCCTCAGAAAGTGACAAAAACAATGGGATGAGTGTGCCTGGGGCAAGGGGGGGGGATCCTGAGGGAGTTCACGGCAGTGTGTCTCTTACTGTAATACATTTCTAATATCTGAACACTCACTGTGTTTTTCAGTCCCACCTTGTAACTCTAAACCGACAACTCGGACAAATGAGCCAACAGAACCCAAAGCTGCCGGTGTGTGTGAAACACACACACTGCACGTACACCCACGGGGCCACTTACACCCCACAGAACCCGTGTGGCAGGGGCGTGACCACATCTACCTCAGAGACAGGTGGAGCCGCAGCCACGCAGGCAACTCAGTCCCTCGGCTGCGAGGGCAGGGTGAGCAGGGCTCCCTCACCTGCGTCAGGGAGCACGGGGACAGAACCATGAGGTGCAGGGGCACCTTGCCACCCGACAGGGAGGAGGTCACAGTGCTTCCTGCTCCCTGGGTGTGTGAGTGCACAGGGCTCTTCTCTGACAAACGTCACCTCTGCCTGCCTGCCGTACTTCTGTAGGGCTCCGGGGTCCATGGCTCTTTGGCCAGGCCCTACCCTCCTCTCATCTCCTGCTCACACAGTGCTCTGTGCCTCGGACACGGGCTGAAGGAGGGGCAACAGGTAGAGGACAGCAGGGGACCCGATCTGGAAAGGCCACATGATTGCTTGCTATTTTTAAGCCCCACTGTTGCTAAGAGGATTTACCTAGTAAGCCCTGGACCAAAGGACAAAGAGCTCTCATTTAAATAAGAGCTCTCAAAAGGGCAGTCTGCAGTCAGAAGAGAGGACTGCAAATGAAGGACGGAAGGAAAAACAATAGAAGGGAGGCTTAAAATACACAGCTTCTCTGTGCAGACCCCAAAGGGCTTTTGCTTTAAAACTAAGAGAATTTTGTTTGTACAAATACATATGCTATCTTCCAGCTCAACTAAGAGAGTAATGAAAGAGATAAAAAGAAACCCTTGAGGAAAGGAGGACAGAAAGAGTGGTATCACTGAGCATCATGCACTCAGAACGGGCTGAGAGTAGTTCTGTATGTCTAGGAAGCTCCAGGGAGACCAACGCATCATTAGAAAGAATTAGGCCCTATAAGCTGAAGAGCCAGGATGCTGGAGTGCAGTTCAGGGACAGAAAGAGGCAAGAGGAGGTACATCAAATGGGATTTCCATTGAGACAAAATGAAATTAGGTTTCCACATACAGGAGAGTAAAATCTCTATGACAAGTATGCAACCTAGCTGTTCTCTCCCCAGTGAACTCCACAGGCTAAGCTATAACCCACAGTAGGAGTATCACTGAAAATGTATCTTGTGTGTGTGCCTGATCATGGCATAGATGAAAGCCACTTCATACCAACAAACATTGAAGGAATTGTGCATTTTTGAGAATTTACATAAAACACTACACAGAAGAAATGACAGATACAACATACCAAAAATGCATTTTTAAAATGAGATCTGTAGGCTTTTAGTGTAACAGAACAGATGCTTCAGAAATCACTACCAGTCTCACAGGATCACATGACAGCTCCCTGAGGCCAAGCACCTTCGCTGTCCTGTGGATCACAACAGACCACTCTACAGACACTTGTGGACCAAGTGAAGGAAGTGCACCATCACTGCCACAGGACAGCACCTTGCGCAGCACATGCGTGGCGAGGCCAGGTCAGGCACTGGGGAGCCAGCACGCCATGACTCTGGATACTGGGCCCTGTCCCAGCACTGAGTGAGCCTGGGCTGGACACAAGCTCCTCTCCCTGTACCAGCATCAGCGCCAGCCAGGCAGGAGCCTTGGAGCTGGCTTTTGGAGACTTACCCTCAGTGAAGTAGGTCTGCTGCAGCCCATGCACCTCTTGTGGGAGTTGGGGCCTTTCTGTGGCTATTCCGTGAACTGCAGCACATCTACCCTTTGCCAAGGTATGGCTGCATAGTTCAGAATATAGCTAAGCAGTGTCTCTTCACTCCTCTTCAGTGAAAATGCTTCATTACCCAGCTTGGTGGGGAGCAGGGATAGGAGCCCTGGAGTGTTACCTGCTCCTACTGGCTGGGGTGTGGATGAGCCAAGCCACGCGTGCTGGGGCCGGAAGAGACAAAGCAGCTCTTTTCCTCGGCACCACAACAGCTCTTGGCTATGTTGGGACACTGATGGCCCCGTGTGCAGGGAAAGGACAGATTCAGTGTGTAGAACTCACCTCATGAACCCCGGCGGCAGAGACCCATGGAGCCTCGGGTTTGTAGATGCCATGTATAACTTCAGAGCTGCCATGACCCAGTCAGTCCGAACTCATCTTCACATTTTAGAGAAGCAGCAGCTGACGGACAAGGTCGAAGAGCAGGCAAACGATCGAGCAGAGCGGCGAGCTGCTTGGAGCTGAGCGGAGGTGGGGCGCACACAGCACCGAGACAGGCAGACATGCCACAGCTCTGCATGCTTCACACTGAAGGGGTTCATTTTGCTAGCTAAATTATATCTTTACTAACAAAAGAGGGCCAGAGCAAATATTTGAGCTCTAGTATTTGGGGCTCTCATGCTTAAAATCTGTGCTTAAGGGACAGAGGTCAGAGGATGAGAAATCAAGGTAGGAGAACAAGTTGGTACAAAATGAGCTTCTCAAACACAAGGATAAACGTCGCTTGTTCGGCCCTGAGCCAGGAGCTGGGGTTAAATCAATATACAAGCGACAGCCACTTCCTGGGGCACTGGGGACAAAGGACAGGGTAAACACTGGTGCTGTCAGAGAACATTACCCAGGTACCGAGTCTGAGCTGAGGTGAGGGAGCAGCAAAGTTCTGCCTGGGGGAGGAGCTCAGATGCAGGGGCTCCTAGAGAGTCTGCGGGGCGGAGTTCTGGAAAATGCTGGAAGCCATCTCAGCAAGTCAAGGTGATGGTGTGGTGGTGGGGACCAGAAGGAAACCTGTGGACCTGACATTCAGGAACAGGCAGGGCTGGGCATAGGAAATCCCAGGATTTAAGTCACTGCTCTCACGGCTAGACAAAGACCTTGGAAACCAGCCCTTTAAAGGTGGCCAACAAGGCGGACTTTGTTCTTGATGTTTTTAATCAGCAAAGTGACCGTAAAAGTTAGAAAGCAAAGACTGAAGTGCGAAGAGGCAGAAGGGGGCCAGGCAGGAAAATCTGTGCTGGTGCGGATGAGCACCAGGAGGGGCTGCTCCAAGGGCAGGCACTGGAAAGCGGTGAGGAGCAGGAAGACTGAGGCAGAATAAGAGGACTGGTGTTTGAGGCTGGGGTCTCCCAGGGGCTCCGGATTAGACACGAGCTTGTGTCAGGCACAGCACGAGCCCAGGCTGCGCTGAGATTCAGCGTTCTAGCAGACTGACGACTTCTTCACTTTTCAGGGTGGCACATTTGGGTACTCTGGATTCCCCTCCCCATGATCAGACGGAAAAAGAGGTGAAAGGAAACTAGGCCAGCATGTCTGAGTGACAGAGCAGGGCTTGTTATTATTTTCCCTGTCTCCAGCTCTGTGCAAAAGCACTCTCAGGACATGTAGTGAATCCATGAACGCGTAGAAGAACAAATGAAAGAGTAAATATACAAACAGCCCCTGACTTCCAGCTTCTGACAAAACTGATCTATAAAACGACGGGAGAAGTGTCTGTTCCCAAGACAGAACACACTGGAAGAGGTGGGTAACACTCATGTTTACACAAGAGCTGAAGTGAAAAAATAAGACTGACCGAGAGAAATTCATTAAACTGAGAAGAACCGAAACACTTTACCTCCCTGTTACCCCACAGCCACTTCTCCTCAACCTGACAACTCTGCAACTAGAGCCGAGTCCTTATGCTGCTGCTTCATTTTCCAAGTGGGTTTTGCCTCTTGCAGCTGCAAAGGCTTTTTGCCAGGGACCCCAAGACCGGGCATCCAGAGCTCCTGCTTGATAGTCAAACCAAGATGCTGCCAGTTTGCTATGTTCCCCAGATGGGCAGCTTCTGCCTCCCACTGCAGTGCTGTCCTTGACAGTGACAAGTGAGAAAAACATCCACCCTGAGGAACAATCTCTTTTGTTATTGTGGTCATTCTAGGGTATCTGAGGAGGCTGGTTCCAGTACCCCTGAAGTTCTCCAAATCAGAGGGTGCCCACATCCCCTTTATAAAATAGCCTTGAATTTCCACAGAACCTGTGCACATCTCCAAACCTTGAGGCACCCTGGGTTACTTATAACACCTAAGACAAAGGAAACAGTAGTTATATTGTATTGTTTGGGCAGCAATGACAAGAGAACGCCTGTTAGTGAGTCAATTTCACAAATTTCCTTCTAAATATTTTCTGAAGGACGCAGCACCCTTGGTTATGGAGGGCTGACTGTATTGCGTATTTCTTCTCCAGTTACCCTATATGCTAGAATATAAAGTGTTTCTGCTATAACACAATGTATATGTATTCCTGGAATATCGCACACTTCATGAAATTCAACACTAAAAACAACAGAGAAAACTGGTTGGGTACATTCTTCTAAAAACTAAGATCTTCCACACAAAATCAAAAGCAACAAGTGGTACAGCAGAGAGGTGATTTGGGCACCCAGGCAGGTGGCTCTGCATAGCTGCTGGTCAACGCAGCAGATATTAAAACTATAAAAACAATAAGGAAAAAGTGCAGTGACGCTTTAATTAGAGCAAGGCTGGCAGATGCTGAGGTAGCGCTAGAAGGAGTAAAACCTTTCCCAAGCCAACAGTCATGCAACTCTGTGACTGCATCTGTCTGGGGAGGGGACCTCAGAGGAAGGCAACCATCACGATTTCACGCGAACAAAAACACACACACGCACGCCACACACAGTCACAGGAGCTCAGCTGAGAAAGTTTTCTACTCTTGTCCAAGGTCATAATTCTGTTCCTGTGCCCTGTTTTCTTTGCTTAGCAAAATTTGTATCAGCCAACAAAGCTTTCGCCTCACAGACATCTTGCTTCTTTTTACCAGTCATGCAGGAGTTGACTCACCACACAGAACAGAGCACACGGTGATTTACTTCCTCAGAGAGGCTCATCGGCACCAGCTCAGTGCCCTTGGCAAGGCTGTGAATGGAAGCAGGCCCAAAACCTGGGGCAGGAGCTCAAAACTGGGCCCCTCCTGGACCTCCCACCCCGTATCCCAGCCCTCCACCAAGAAAAATTCATTCCCAGAGAAAGATGTGACCACGAAATTCAACCAACAGAAAAGTACACATACTTACATATAATATGTTGGATACAGTCCTTCAAAATACCAGCAATGTTTTTTGGCCTCTATGCACTGGAAATAGAAGCAAGAGAAACTTTATCAGTGAGTACTTCGCATGCTGTGGAGCTCTTAGCAAGACAACAAAGAGGGAAGGGGCACAGCTTCAAAGTATGAAACCCGGGGCTACAGAGCAGGCAAAGCTTAGAGAAAGCCCACTTCCCCTTTCTCATGGGGGTGCAGTTCTTTTTAAATACTGAAAGGGGAGAACGAAACATTTATTTTCTTATTATTTTTCTAGTTTTTCATATCTTTAAATATAGAATGCAATCATTTCATCAAAAAGATAAATGAAAAACAATTCTTTTGGTGCTGGTGCTGAACTCAGGGCCTTGTGCATGCTAGCCAAGTGCCCTATCAACAAGCTACACCGTAGTCCCAGTTTAAACAAAAGTCTATAGTGTTATGGTTCCGACTAGTATAGAACAGAAGGAGGGCTGAGGATATAGCTCAGTGGCATAAGTGCCTGCCTATCAAGCACAAGGTCGTGAGTTTGATCCCCGGTACAGCAAAAAAAAAAAAAAGACTTCCATCCCCCTCTCTGTGTTTTTGAAAGACATGTCCCACAGTTTTATCATTTCTGGATTTTTGTATTTCACAATACTCCAAAATCCATACTGAAATCACACATCCTGCAGTGGGGACCCATGTCTGCAAGACTGTGTGAGACAGGATCATCCAGCAGCACCCACAGGCCACAGAGGCCCCCAGGCCCACACCGCGGGCAGGGCAGGTGAGACCTCGCAGGCCACCCCCGGCTCACGCACACCTCCAGCAAGTGTTACCGGCAGCTCAGGGAGCTCTGAGGCACAAGTGTTCTGACCCATCAACAAGGCTTCCCAAAGTAATTTCCCTCAGGCCACCTACTTCTGTGCTTCACAGCCTCCTACCTCCAATCCAGTTTATCAACCCTGTGTACACAGAGCTTCCAGCAGCACGTGGTGCAAAGCTGCTGCACAGGGGCTTGGGACGGGCAGGCTGGGGGCCTCTGGCCTGGAGCGGTGGTGGACCTGCCTCTCTTCTGTGCCTTCCGGCCATGGTCAGCCGTGCAATAAGGCAGGAACAGCGGCATGTGAGGGACAGGTAGGTGATGGCGTGAGGTGGCTAGTTTAGAGGTTTATGAAAACTAGGTGAAACACTGGTGCTTTCGGAACATGATTTAAGCACTTACAAGCACTCAGGCAGCCCAGAGTGACCCAGTTTTATTAATGGAAAATGAATTTAATTTAGCCTTGGCTCATTCCTGTCCAGTTCAACAAATAAAGTTCAGACAGCTGAAGAAATCCATTTATTTTGACAGGAAGAGTAACTTCAGGTCTCTGCCCCGGACCACAACTCATCCACCAGTCTCCTGCAATGAACTGGAAGCTGGAGTCGCCCTCCCGGGACACGGAATGGGTCTTCCGCACTCTCTGTCACCACCACAGACAGGCGAGCTTCCCGGAATCCGACATTTGTGCTCTAGACAGTCAGGAAGCAGTGTCCCCTGACGGGTTCCGACCCAAGGTCAGGGACTGCAGCGAGCTTGGGCCTGCGGCCCCCTTCCCCTTGGGCCCTGGCTGCTTCTTAGGGCCACTGGCAGAATCACATCCATGAACCAAACAGCAAAGCTGGGGTGCCCAGGGAGAACTGGGCACAGGAACCTGCTGTGTGATCCAAGTCAGGACACCCCTTCAGTATCCCTGTGCCACGTCACTGAACTCCTGAAGTAGCCACAAAAACAGCACCACTGCACCTGAGAGAGCACTTTTCATTCCAAATGAGTTTTACACCTTTGGATACACTTTGTCTCTGGGACGTGAGGATATCAGGGACACCACACTAGGGATCTGGAAACCGAGGCCCTCAGTGGGTTCTTCCTCTAAGTCACAAAGCTTCTTTGTGACAGCGGCACTCACTGGGCACTGCTTCTCCTGGACTGACCGACATTACGTGAGAAGCCTGCTCTGACCACCTCAGCTCCCAGGGCTTGCCTGTGTGGTGCCAGAGATAGCCCAGGAAGATGCCGCGACCTGATGCCAACAGGACCAGAGACCTGGGGAAGCCTGGTCGCCCAGCCTCGGCTCGCAGCTACACAAGTGGGTGGTGTGTGTTTGCGTGTGTAGATGTATGTCAGCCGTATGTGGGTGTTTTCAAGCCTGAAAGCACTGAATTGTCCCATGCAGCACGCCAGGCATGGCTGCAGGAAG